GTATTGAGACGAAGGTCGTGGGTTCGAATCCCGATCGTGACACTAACTTTTTCATTTTAACCAAGACCTTATATACAAAGAATAATTAATTGAAAGAAATTCTCTTTAGTATCGACTTTCCGATCAGATCACTGTCAAATAATCACCAAAATCCATTATATTTCGTGGTCTGATGACCAAATAACTTTTTTCAATTAATTAATCTTTTTGTGAGATATTGGTTGAAATGAAAAATGGCAAAAAGGAGGGAAAATTCGAAAGATAGGTTGAAGTGGGAAGTTGGTGTCCGAGTGGATCGAAGTCACGATAGCTTAAGTGGTCAGAGCGGCGTATTTAGCCGAAGGTCGTGAGTTCGAATCCTGCTCATGACACTAACTTTTTCATGACAATCAAAACTTTTCATAATTGTAAAAATGTTGTTCTTTTGAAATTGTATTAATAAATTACGTCTTCTAATGAAATGTCTGGTGATTAGTGACCGTTAATCGATATTTATTTAGAAATCGTGAGATGCGGTCTGGTGTGATGTAGGTTTCAGAAAAACATTTTCTTTATCGTATCAAGGGTATTCACGTGCTGTTATAGAGTATGATTAATCTATTCTTACGTGATATTCCCACCATTGTATGCATGGTGCATCGCAAACCTCGAATTTTTTCTGAATTAATTAACTCACCTTTGAATGAAACATATCTTTCTCATTCAAACTCCAGCGATGATATTCCACTTAGCAATTTAAAAGGTCGGAGGGAAATTGTGCATCGGTTGAGTCATTTAAAGACCTGGTTGAGGGCCTGGCCTCGTGACTAACCAATTCCTCTGGGCACGTATTCGATTTTGAAACGACCGACATCCATAGAACACTCGAAACCTAAATATTGATCGTTGACCCAATCACTCAAATTGGGAAGCTTAAAGTTTAGGAAAAATGAAGAAATGAAAGAGTTCTTTTGCCAATTTTTCCCTTTTTCCCCTATTCTCTTCTACTATTAATATAATTTCTACTACTTCCTTCGCTATCTACAACAGTTCGTAAACATTTCAAAAATTTTGGATACCATATATTCTAAAATAAAATCGCTGAATTATGATCTTCCCTAGTTAATCTAACTTCCTATTTTGCATACTTCTCAGTTTTTTCAGCATGTACTCAATGTTTTTTTCCTTTTTGGTCTACGATTTTTTATACTTATATTTAGTAAGAAATGAGTGGTTATTTTGAATAGATATTGGTTGAAATGAAAAAGTTACTGTCACGATCGGGATTCGAACCCACGACCTTCGGCTCAATACGTCGCTGCTGTAACCACTTGAGCTATCGTGTCTTCGTTCCACCGGGGGGGAGGCGGTAATCTAATGGTGGTTTTTATCTAATTTTTTAAAATCTAATGGGTTTCTTTAACTAATGGGCTTATTTAATCTAATGTTTTTTTATCTAAAAGGTTTTTTTAATCTAATGGGTATTTTCAATCTAATGGTTTTTTTTTAATCTAATGGTTTCTTTTTAATCTAATGGGTTTTTAATCTGTTTTTTTTTTAATCCAATAATTTTTTTAATCTAACGGTTTTTTTTTACCCCAATAGCGGTTTTTAATCTAATTTTTTTAATCTAATGGTTTCTTTTTAAATCTAATGGGTTTTTAAATCTAATAGGTTTTTTAATCTGATGGGTTTTTAAATCTACTGTGGTTGTTTAATCTAATGTTTTTTTAATCTAATGGGTTTTTAAATCTAATGGGTTTTATAATCTCATGGGTTTTTAAATCTACTGTGGTTGTTTAATCTAATTTTTTTTAATCTAATGGGTTTTTAAATCTAATAGGTTTTTAATCTGATGGGTTTTTAAATCTACTGTGGTTGTTTAATCTAATGTTTTTTTTAATCTAATGGTTTCTTTTTAAACTAATGGGTTTTTAATCTGTTTTCTTAATCCAGTAATTTTTTTAATCTAATGGGTTTTTTTTAAACTCCAATAGCGGTTTTTAATCTAATTTTTTAATGTTTTTTAAAATGTTTTTTAATCTAGTGGTTTTCTTATTCTAATAGGGTTTTTTAATCTAATGTTTTTTTAATCTAATGTTTTTTAATCTAATGGTTTCTTTTTAATCTAATGGGTTTTTTAATCTGTTTTTAATGCAATAATTTTTTTATTCTAATGGTTTTTTAATCGGTTTTTAATCCAATAATTTTTTTAATCTAATGGGTTTTTTAATCTGTTTTTAATGCAATAATTTTTTTATTCTAATGGTTTTTTTTACTCCAATAGCGGTTTTTAATCTAATTTTTTAATCTAATGTCTTTTAATTTAATGGGTTTTTAAATCTAATAGGTTTTTTTAATCTAATGGTTTCTTTTTAATCTGATGGGTTTTTTAATCTAATGTTTTTTTAGTCTAGTGGGTTTTTAATCTAATGAGTTTTCTTAATCTAATGGGGGTTTTTAATATAATGTTTTTTAATCTAAAAAGTTTTTTTTTAATCTAATGGTTTTTTTAATTTTTCAAGTCACGACAGCTCAAGTGGTGAGAGCAGAGGCGTATTGGGCCGAAGGTCGTGGGTTCGAATCCCGCTCGAAAGCTAGGCACCGCCCAAAAAATTGTTTTCGCTCCACATGACCCCTAAAGAAGATCTTATCACCTTAATTGCTGTAGTTGACAAACATCCAAAACAAACAGACCTGAAAGAGTTCTGTAGATAACAGTATATTGACTGTGCAGTCTTGACATGGCAATGTAGAAAATAAACTCCGCGATGAAACAAAAGTCCCAATAATTTATTACGATTGAATTTACAACCTCAGAATTATTACTAACTATTTTAGCTGTTTATTATTATTATTCAAAAGAAGGAATTTGTATTAAAAGTCGCTTATTTCTTAAGTGAAGGTAAGCATTAAGCTCGAGAGAAATGGCTCGCTGATAAATGACATCCCTACCTGAACTGTCCTCGAACTGCACCTCTATACTGCTCCTTGTCCGATATGACCCTCTGGAATACGAGAAACCAGGTAAGATTGTGCACCAATCAACTGGATCTACGAAGTTATCATAAGGTAGTTTTTATCCTCGAAAAAGCTCGGTACAGCCCAAAAAGTTGTCTTCGCACCATATGACCTCTAAAGAAGATCTTTCACGTCTGTCCTGCTGCTCACCTCAACGTACTCTAGTATTTCATTTTGATTTTAATAAGTTTTTCTTACAGTACACTGGCTATCTTACACCATTCCCAACGGCCCAAAATTTTGTACGAATCTGCTGATCTATAGACGAGACGGTTTTTAACTAAATATTTGCCTGTCTTGGTATGGGTCTTTTGTGAATTGTTACTGTTGTATGACAGTTTAACTTACAATTAGAAAGCTTTGTAGAAAACACTGAAAGCATCGGGTAATCTTCGATTAAATCTAATGATCTCATGATTAGCAATAAATATTAGCATTTCTGTAGGGATCATTGTTTTAACTTTTACACAAAGTTTGTCTTTTGGTGTTCGCAATATGTTTCCATACTTTTACCCATTGCAAAAACGTGAGACAATGTGGTTTCGCTTGAACGGACGTCCTGACAATTAGCCTCAGAGATACATGGAATTTTTTTCAAAATCGGAAATCAATTTCACACTGGAAAAAAAGCCCAACGCAATGGTGATATTCATACACAGGGTGTTCGGTTACTCGTAAAAAATTTGGCCAGTAGATTCTACATTCAAAAAGGAGCCAAAAATTCCTAATTAACTATGATCCGAATCTCAACAGTTTCGGAGTTATTCCACTTTTTCTTATTTTTTAAGATTTCACGACCTTGCTTCAAATAAACAATGATAACTCCAAAATTAAAAGGTTTTTGACAAATCCGTTAGTACCATTGAAAACTACGTTAAATTTCCAATAAGATGAGATCGATACTAAACTTGTCAACATTCGTGAAATAAGCGTTTTAGTAGCCAGAACATTGAAAAATTTTTTTTTTCAAAGTTGAAAAACTTACTATGGTGATTCGAAACTACTATTTCTAAACCTAGAGCCAAGCAAATTTCAGAAAATATACTCCATTTAGTATCCTTTTTAGTGGTGTAATTGCTTTTTTAATTACTTTTTTCAAAGATGAAGAAATTGACGAAGGAAAAGAAAAAAACCCGTAAAAAAAAGGATTGGTTATATGGAAAGATTAATAATAAAAAAATTAAAAAACTTAAGGAACTGTCTCGGTCAGAACTCAAATTGAAAAAAGATTAATAATTTAATTCAAAATTTCCTCAAGTTTTTTATTTTATTTTTCCACCGTACCAATCCGTCAGCCACGGTTTTTTCTTTTCCCCCATCAATTTCTTCATCTTTGAAAAAAGTAATTAAAAAAGAAATTACACCACTAAAAAGGATATTAAATGGAGTACATTTTCTGATATTTGCTGTTCTCTAGGTTTGGGAATGGTAGTTTAGAATCACCATAGTAAATTTTTCATATTAAAAAAAATATATATTTTTCAAAGTTCTTGTACTAAAACTCTTATTTCATAAAGATTTACAAGTTTAGTATTGAGCACATCTTATTGGAAATTTAACGCAATTTTCAATGGTATCAACGGATTTGTCCAAAACCTTTTAATTTTGGAGTTATCATCGTTTATTTGAAGCAAGGTCGTGAAATCTTAAAAAATCAGAAAAAGTGAAATAACTCCGAAACTGTTGAGATTTGGACCATAGTTAATTAGGAGTTTTTGCTTCCATTTTAAATGTAGAATCTACTGGCAAAGTTAGTGACACAAGTAGCCGAACACCCTGTACGAGCGTAAATATTGCTGTGTAAAATCTACTATCCATCTCTTCGAACAACATATCTCGATTGAAACAGCCATTAGAAATAGAAACGGTCAGGTAGCCTTATCGGGTAAAAATCGTTAGAAAAGCTGCAGCTTTCACCCCTGGCAGGCGTGCATCTGTCCCTTCGGAGCTCAGGCGTCCCACCAGGAATGAGAAGAGGGGAGAAAGACACGAAACCGTCTGTTGAATGGGTTCAGTGCTGGCCGTGCTGTGCCGGAGTGAACTTCGTTGTGTCGTCGCGTCAATTTTTATTTACAGATTTTTCACAAAAGGTTTACCCAAAAACAACGCCAGCGACCCGCCGACGGTGAGTGCGACTCATGTTTTATAAACCAATCGACGATAGGAAATATATTTTTCCCTAGAGGGACTTCGCTGTCGATCCAAGCTCAAGTCCTTTCTATATTAGGTTTTTTATAAATCTCAGGGCTTGGACTTGCAAGCAATTTTTCCTGTTCGATAATCGAGGACCGTCTGAAAATCTTTAAGAGCCGTGAATTTTGCCGATCTCTTTTTCCAGATCTAGAACATCTGATATAATTTATTATGTTAACATCCCACAAAACGCGTCTTTTCTTTATCGAGATATGAATCTGAGCTGACCTTCTCAAAAATTTAAATATTTTTCATTTTAGATTTTCTAATGGGAATCACATGGGGCTTGTAAACTCTGCCGTTTTGCCTATCCAGACGTTCTTCTGTGTCATATGGCAAACTGAATTTTGTGTAAAACTTTTGATTGGAAAAAATAAAACCGTTAGTTTATTTTCGGAAAAAAAGCCGCGGGCTCTTTACTCTGTTCTAAGTCTGTTTTGATCGTTAAGTTTTATAATAACAATATAATAAATACTAGTTTAATAATAATATAATAATAAATAACAAAATAATTAACTATTATATCTGGTTTAGCAACGCTTTATTCGATCAACTTAAAATTTATAAATATTCGTGGTGAGCGGCTCGCGGCTCGGCTTGGTCGAACGGATGAGAAGGTAGTGTGCTCCGAGCGAGTAACAAGCTACTAGCTCTATGCCCGTCAGGCCTTTTAGGGGGTAGGATGTGTCTGGTTGTCCGAGCTTGACCAAGGTACAATAAGCCGGAAGGCTGCAGTGCCTGGAGAATACAAACCACGCTTCCTAGTAACCACCCCTCCGACGCTTTCTACTAGCTAAGTAAGCCTTAAAGGGGTAGGTTTGGAAAAAGATACAAACTACTAGGCCTGGCTTCAAAAAAGGATTAACTACTAGGCCTAGCCAACTCCTGGTCGAATCCTGCCTACGCCGGCTCCTCGACATCTCCTGGCCAACTCCTGGCCGATTTTGGCTCCTCTACCTCCTGGCCAACATCGACTCCCCGACGTCTCCTGGCCTAATCCGGGCCGACTTAGGCCCCTCGACATCTCCTGGCCGATTTGGGCTCCTCTACCTCCTGGCCGAATCCTGGCCTTCTCCTGGCCGCCATCGACTCCTCGACATCCCTGGCCAGCTCCTTTCCGAATCTTGGCCGACATCGACTCCTCGACTTCTCCTGGCCTAATCCGGGCCGACTTCGGCTCCTCGACATCTCCTGGCCAGCTCCTGGCCGATTTGGGCTCCTCGACATCTCCTGGCCAACTCCTATCCGAATCTTGGCCGACATCGACTCCTCGACGTCTCCTGGCCTAATCCGGGCCGACTTCGGCTCCTCCACGACTCCTGGCCGATTTTGGCTTCTCTACCTCCTGGCCGAATCCTGGCCTTCGCCTGGCCGACATCGACTCCTCGTCGTCTCCTGGCAGAATCCTGGTCTTCGCCTGGCCGAATCCTAGCCTTCTCCTGGCCGACATCGACTCCTCGTCGTCTCCTGGCCGAATCCTGGTCTTCGCCTGGCCGAATCCTGGCCTTCTCCTGGCCGAATCCTAGCCTTCGCCTGGCCGACATCGACTCCTCGTCGTCTCCTGGCCGAATCCTGGTCTTCGCCTGGCCGAATCCTGGCCTTCTCCTGGCCGAATCCTAGCCTTCTCCTGGCCTACTCCGGGCCGACTTAGACTCCTCGACGACTCCTTGCCGACTTCGGCTTCTCGTCGTCTCCTGGCCATACCCGGGCTAACTTCTGCTCCTCGTCGTCTCCTGGCGAAATCCGGGCCAACTCCCGGCCGACTCGTGGCGAACTTCTAGCCGAATCCTGGCCATCTCCTCTGACCGCCTCTTACTTCTGCAACTCCTAATTGACTCTTCTGACTGACACTGCAACTGAACTCCTCGGTCTTTTGGGATCATATTTTATTCAACCAGTCGAGGAGGGGCTGGGGAACAGTCGAGCTTAGGAAATACTGATATGCTTCCTGTTGACCCGACTGCCCTTGACCTCCCCAAGTCATTGAGCTTTTCCGGATGAGCCCGGGAATTGGCTAATCCTGGGGGTTGGGCAGTAAGGCCACTTGTCAGCACAAGAGTAAATATTTCCGGGGCGATTGCCCAGGTTCGACCCACATTTCTCCATCGCAAACATCCAGCTGTTATCACTTCGCCAGCTTTGTTTAACTGCCTCTGGGTTTTCGCGAAAGACAAGGTCGGCTCCCGGGACTCCAGGCCACTTCCGATTGCCCAATCTTACACAATACGCTTTCCCAACAATTAGCCGAAATATTCCTATTGTATATATCCTATTTTGTGGCAGGCTGCTAGGTAGTAGGGTTCTGGGCCCTTAGTCCAAGTTGCTCCCTTTTTGGCCAACATGTCAACCTTTTCGTTGCCTCTATGCTCCGAATGTCCCGGGCCCCATGCCAGCGCCAGGTCATTTGTGTCACGGACTTCCGTCAGAGTCTCCATGCAGTTCCAAACACTCTTTGCCTTCGCGTCACACGAGGCTGAGGCCCTGAGAGCTGCCTGGCTGTGAGAGAATCTTGAGAGCTATCTTCCGGGAATGTATTCCATGGCACATTGTTCAATCGCTATGATTTCAGACTAGAAAACTGTTTACCGTCAGTTCGGTCTTGCGGTCTTGGGGTCCATCTGAAAGACCCCCAGCTCCCGTACCCTTGTCTTTTTTTTACTTTCTTTATTTAGTACCTGATCCCATAGTGATTTCCGGTATTCATAACCATATACAATTATTATTTACAATTTAATACAATTTTACTAACAAAATTATTTAAGGCTTCAATGTGGTCTCTAACCAAACTGTGATGGTCGGGTGGCCATTGTCCACCTTTACATACAACGTCCCTTATTAGAGATTTTCGGCGTGGTTCTTGAATGGGGCAGTCGAATAAGATGTGGTCCCATGTTTGTTGAGGTCTCCCTGGACAGTNGAATACCTCAGACAGAAGGACAAAAAGAAAATGAGCGAACTTTGGAATTCACTTATTGGACATAGACAATCCAAGAATCTTCTAACCAACTTTGGCAAGAAAGAAATCACAGAATGTGTCAAAGGAAGCAGGAACAGACTGAGAATCCTAACGGGATTCCTGACAGGACACTGTAGATTAAATGGACATCTAAAGAAAATTGGAATAATCCGAGATGGCACATGCAAATTCTGCAAAGAAGCAGAAGAGACACCCACACACTTACTAACAAACTGCGGAGCTACACTAGCCCGCAGGAGGAAGTGTTTTGGGATGTACAATGTGACCATAGAAGAACTACAACCACTGAAGCCGGGCCTATTAATCAAGTTTCTTGATGAAATAGGACTCACCGATGTGCTTTAGGCAGACACAGGGGATACAATAGATCTTAAAGGGCGCAGTATACCATACCCTGAAATATTACATCTACATCTAGTCCATGGCCGCTTATAAGTTGGGTAAGCATATGGTGGTGTTTCAGATCTACCGCCATCCTTGATTCTACCATTGGAAAGAACTTTTTTAGTTTGAAGACCTTTAGCAGTACGTCTCCAACGTTCTTCCCATTGGGCCAATGTCATTTTCGAGGCCATGGATGACGTAGCTTTTCGGCACTACTGTGATTGTTGTTTCTAGTTCAGAGTTTTCTGTAGCTTCCTTTGCTGCTGCGTCGGCTTCCTCATTACCTTGGATCCCTGTGTGCTGGTACCTTTTCAATACTGATATTCCAGCCATTATCACACAATGATTTTATCATATTTCTGATGTCGGATACTATCAGGCTTCGTGCTGTAATTTTTAATTTTATCAATGGATATGCGGCTGTCTGTTTGTTCACTTCTCCAACATCCTGCTGTGCGAGCCATTGAATAGCATTCAGGGTAGCAATGAGTTCAGCTTGGTTGTTCGAGCACCAGCTAGCGAGTCTAATTTGTGTTTCTTGCTGGGTGTTGTCTTTTCCATAGATGAGTAGGGCTGCTCCAACCTCATTATTCATTTTGCTCCCATCGGTGTATATTACGATCTTGTCTTGATACTGTCTCTGTGATTCCTTGAGTTCTATAAGCCTTGGCCACCGACCCTCAACGAGCTGATTAAAGAAAAGAGGACGTTTGAGGTCCTCAAGCCTGTTAGCCGAGCTATAGTGGACAAAGTACCTGATTAGTTTGTACTTTCTTTTTCTTCTTTTAATTCCGGGCTGGTTACTCCTTGTACCCATAATTGTTATTTATTTATTAAAATATTGTATTTATTAGAAAGTGTGTTCAAAAGGATTAACCAGCAAGGGGGAGACCTATTAGAGTAGATAAATTAATAATAATTTAAAAAAATTTCCCTTCTTCCTTGGGTCTTCCCTTTCAGGGCAAGGTCGAAGGAAGACGTTAAGCACAATAAGATCTCCTAAACTTGCATCCCATTTGAATTAGTTTAGTGGCCGTGGTCCGCCGGTATGGGGTCTCCCTTAGGTACGGCGGGGAGGTGGATGGGGAAAAAAAAAGAGTTCTATAAGCCGGATTGGGTCATTCATTTAAAGGCAGTGTGGGTTCCACGATAAGTGCAGGGAAAAAAGGGTACCCTTGTCGCTTTTGGAGCCGTCAGTATACCAGTAGGAATTTGCCTTTAGTGGTGTTCCTTTGTCCCATTCTTCCCGTTCTGGTATCAGTACTTTGTACTTCTTGCCTGTATAAATGCTGTCTATTTGCAAGACACCAGATTCTAACGAGTTTAACATAAACTGTTCTTATTGTGAGGATAAAAATGAATGGAATTTTATAAAAATCCAATCGAATAAAACAAACTAAACTTAAAATATGGTCTTCTCTCTTACTACTTTGAGTATAAAATAATAATAAAAATGAAAAGGAAACTTACAAAATGAAATGGGCTCTTGACAGAAAAAAACAATAGGAAGGAACAACCACTCTCTATATCACTCTACCCAGAGTTTTTTCTATTTACCTTTTGGGCCGGTC